TCACTGCATCATCTATATTTTTCCTTGTACCTGCTTCAAGTCTTCCTAGGCGTTCTAGGGCTGACGTGCAAGAACGACACATTCTTCCACAAAAGCCATCTTCTTCATCATATATCAATTTGACAATATCAACTTCAACATCCATACTAATAAGTTTTTCAGAGATCAATCTTTTCCAAACAGGTAAGGCATTAATACACATTGGACCAATCATTCTGTATCAATTGCTGGCTTTTACCATGCCTTTTCCACAACTGAAACAAACAACACTCGCAGCCATGCCTGATTAATTTATTTCAGCCACGCCTAACTACCTTGCAATTCAGCCAGCTACGCCCAAAGCCATACAACGGCTCAGAACGAATCCTGTATACGTAGTGGTCCTGACCCTTCTCTCTGCGAGGGTCAGGCCCCGCCTGACTACATCTGGCTTATGTAGCACATCAGAGGATAACCCTGCTTTCCTTGCTATTACCTCTTTCAAGTCTACTCTTCTCTGTGTTAAAAGATTGAGGAGAAATACAAAATATTGATGTGGTGGTGTGCTTACATATTGTAGAATGCACAATGTAATCCATGCATGTACATGTAAAGGAATGTATACATACATCACAAGACTTATAACGAATACCACTAGAGCAATCGTGACCCTCAGTAAGTATTGCCATAATGTAACATGGCTTTTGAGAATTCAATGAATTAACTTTCCATGATGCATCACCAGCTGGAACAATGTCTCTTGACTTCATTGTCTCAACAGCTACTCAGTGCCTCTTATTACTTTCGCTTAGATGATGAGTAGTTTTACCATTTTGAGCCTTAAAAATCCATTCAAAAACTTCGTCTCTGCCACTTTATGTAAAATGGGTAGTAGCTGATCAATATGTTGGTTGTTCTTCTCCATGTAACAAACTTTATGCTTCCTACGTAATGCTTCGACCGCCATAGTCGTATTTAATACTGTGGAAGCTTTGAAGGATGGAGCCTATTTCTCAAGACTTGAGCAATACAGTATGTCAGGATATATTTGCGGCTGCAATTATTCGCGGTCATAAAAACTAATAAAAATATTCAATTAAATACCATGGAAACCAATTGATAGTTGCTTTGATAATTGACCACGTGTTTACATTAGCAGGGAAGTTATCTCAGCTGTCATAATGAACAATTACGGTACCATGGTTGAAGTATGTAGCTGTATTTATGGTCTTCACGTTTACAAAGACATGGGAGCCTTGTATAGGTGAGGAGCTAGTGTGTAGCCCACAAGTGACAATCCTCATGCCTGCTATGCTGTGGCTGTATGCAAGTCTGGTACCATAGTGGGACATGTCCCAAAAATAATATCAAGGCTATGCTGGTTGTCTTTAAACAAATCTGGCACAGAAATTAAATGTTTCGTCACTGGTACTAGAAGGTACTCCAGTGATTTGGTTCAAGGTGGTCTTGAGGTACCTTGCAGGTTTAAGTTTATGGGAGGAACTCTTGAACAAATTGCTAAAGTTGCTGCTCTTTTAAGAAGTACTGACAGCAGTACCGTCTGCTTTAGTGTTACAGAAGAGTAGTTATACACATACATGTACGTATAAATATGACAATAATGTATAATATTTTATGTATGTATGTATGTATGTATGTATGTCTTTCTCCCTTTCTGAACAAAATCACGCTCTTTGGAGTGATGATACGATCAATAATGATCACGCTCTTTGGAGTGATGATACGATCGATAATGATCACGCTCTTCAGAGTGATGATACAATTGATAATGAGATCACACTCGTCGGAGTGATGATACAATCGATAATGATCATATTCTTCTGAGTGATGATACAATCAATAATGATCACACTCTTTGGAGTGATGATATAGAAGTAAAATATATACTTCTATTACAACATTATTATAATTCTAATGGAGTTTAATCAGAAGGGTTAAACAAAGTTAACTGAGGAGGGTGGAGCATGGGGAGAGGACAAGGCGCATGCTCAGTAGGCACATGTTCCAGTTCTTCTGTGAGACAGAAACAGCTCTCTATCTCTTACGTGGAGTTTTCATTTTCTAGTCTGGTTCGTTCCCGGGTCTTTGAATGGCAGTGGTAACCGAGGAAGCGGGCGTTCATGATCAGGTTATCCAGCAACAGCAGCAGGTCCGTATCTCCGAGGACGACATGCAGAGGATAGCGGAGATGGCGGCCAGATTGGTACGCCAGGAAAACCCGCTTCAGGATGGTCAGGGCCATCCCGGTACGCCCGCTCAACAGGGCATCTCAGATGCAGGTAGGCGAGTGAGAGAGCGAGTAACTGGGTTGAGAGATAGTAGAGAGGTGGCCGGCTTTGCGGCCTCAAGATATTGATATCAAGGGCTGCGCGAGCAGTGAGCTCGGCAGCTGGAGGTATGCCCGGGAAGGGGCGAAGAATGTGAGTGTGAAAAGGGGCAGGCAGCTAGGTGATAGCTGTTTTATTCTGCTCCCTTTCATATAGGTCAAGACGAAAGTCTTAACTTGAGGGTGGACAGCGACTTGGAGGCAGGAGCAAGCCTCACGTTATCGAACCTCCTCCCAAAGAATGACAGAGTCCTCCTCACACCCCGTGAAAGCAGACGCCATACTGGTAGCGGAAGGGATCCCACCGGTACCGGCAAAGCTTGTAGAGAGGATCAGGGGCTGGTGTTATGTGGACCTGGCGGACCTGTTGGCAGGAGTTGCCCACAAGCAGGAGGAATCTCTAAGTCTGTCAGAGGACAGAATCATCTTGGTTCAGCCAGTGGACCAAGTGAGGAGAAAGAAGAAACGAATTGGGGACATTGCTACATGGTCCCAGGCTTATGCCATCCTGGTGGCAGTGCTAGTATCAGCAGAGGCCACCACAAGAGAGGAGGCGGCAGGCTTGCTGGCCCATATGCAGTCCGTCATCCAGTTGTGTAAGGATCTAGGCAGTCTCAAATGGTTACAGTATCATCAACAGTATCGTGAATGGGCTGCTGCATCAGGAAAGAGAATCTGGGGTGAGGTCAACATGTCCATTTATGGGCGGTGCCTCTGCACTCCAACCCCGAGCAGCACAGAGAGAGAGAGGAGATTTGAGAAACCCCAAGCCCAGTTTAAGAAAGAGCCTCGGAAATCCAAGGGGAAGAACAAAGCTTGTTTCAAGCACAAC